CGGGAGGGCGGCTCCTTTCCCCTCACGTGGTGTCCGAGTCCTCTTCCGCTCGGCCGCGCTGCATTTCTCTTGCTTTTGGACACAGCTGAGCTCCTTGGGTGCTGTTATTCTGCCGGAGCTCCCCGGAGAAGGTAAACGCTTGGGGCAAAATAACAGCAAAAGTGCTCTCGAAAACGCTCTACGAAGACCCTTTCTGGAGTAGAGCTTGGCACTTCTCCTAAAACTAAAGAACCTGTAAGTTTTGTGAGAGTGACTATCCATACCGAATTGGGGAAAATGATGGAGCTAAACTTGATGCATACTTTTGCTTTCTGTGTTGCTTAGCGCCTTTTAAATCCTTCTGAAGTCTTTTTGAGAGCCTTCCAACAGTACGTGGAGAAAATGCGTTAATATTTAAAGAGGGAGCGGGAGACCTAGGATGTCAAGCAAATAGGTGCTGTGCTAAGACTTTTGGCCTGGCTTCTGGGTAGCGTTCGATTTCTTTCTATCGTAATGCTAAGCATCCTATGGGAAAGCAAAACAAATCTTCTGAGCAGCGTGGCATCCTGATTTTGTTTTTAACTTAGGTGCTTGGCTTAAAACGAATCTGGCTGTGCAGTTTGGACATCTGAAACTGGGAGAAGAGCATCTAAGTATTTATGAAAGCAGACATCTTCTAAAGCTGTGTGTGTGACCCTGTGGGGAGCAGGGAGTGTTTACATTTGGGAACTCTCTGAGTATTCATGTGCCTGAGTTCTCCAGTGGTGGAGTTGGTATGTGTATGGCTACTTTTATTTGAGTTGTCAGGGTACTGCTGCATGTGCCTCATCTCTCTGGCACTCTGTTGGCTGCTAGAGGCCGCATCCATGAAGATTGTAAGTGTCACCTACTCTGATGGTAGCTATTTAGTTTTGTAACTGTAGGTGTTAGATGGCGGCTTGCTTTTATGCTGAAACTTTCAGAAGTGTTGATGTCCTGAGGTTCAAAGATGGGGAAGTAACGGTGTATGAAGGGACAGTCTCAAAATAGTTAGAATTTAAATTTTGCTAATGAAAGCTAATACTAGGGTTGTGTGCGGAATATGTAAAAAGTGTCCAGGCTGTTTTGTGTTCCGTGCTAGAATAGCCAAAGATTGTGGTTAGAGGATCAACAAAACTTCTGTCTAGCTGTTCGTGGGTGGAATGCTCTGTTCCCTCCTGTACAGTAGATCTATTCTTTACATCCAAGTATATAGGTGAAAATCTTGTTAAACAGAAAAACGTGCTATAAGTGTGGCATGCAACTTGTATGCCTGCTGACTGTTGGTACGTATTCTAAAAACTTAGAGCTGCCTGAACTTCTTGCAATTGTTGAATATTTTCTATTTGCAGTGTTGGTAGCCTTATATGAAGAGCCAGAGAAACCAAATAGTGCCCTGGAGTATCCTTTTCTTCTCTTCTGTGAATTGTTTGTAGAAACTTCACACGAAACAGCAGTACTACTGCTGACTCATAAGTGGAGAGTCTCACTTAGAAGACTTACATTGAGAACAAGGCTTTTGTGGATGCATTTTAGCGAATAATTGCCTTCTGACAAGCTAACAGAAAGCTTGAGAGGATGCAAGAGGACTGTATGTTACCAGTATGTCAGCAGTTATGAAGTTATAGGCCATTACAGAGTGTTGTAGAGCTGCAGCATTAGATTTAAGTACCTAAAGTGTCTGTGGCTTCTGAAGTCAGCTACTTTGTTCTTTTTTTTGTTTTTATAATACAAGGGGGGTGGGGTGGGGTGGAAATTAATGTCTTTTGTTTCTTGCTGGTTTTAGAAGCAATAGCCAAAAAGCAAGGCTGCTTATTTTCGGTTTTCCTATTAACTCTTCAAAACTTCGGTGTTTAAGAGAGGAAAAGAAGAGGAGGGTGTAGGAAAACAGAATTTGTCCTGTGTGTACTGATGTCTTGTTTCTCTTGTTTTGTGTTTTTTTTTTTTGTTTGTGTGTTGTTTTTTGTTTGTTTGTTTGTTTTTAAGGAATATACCAATGAACTTGAAAAGCTTTCTTATTTTTGTAACTTCATCCTGTAGGATGAAAAGCACTGTAGTAATCTTAGATGGTTTAATGCAATTTTGGCCACGTGTATTGCAGCACTAACTTAGTCGTAAGTGTTAAAATTAAATGTGGTTATGCTATCTAACTGAAGAAACTTAACAACTAAATATCAGCTTTCTGAAGCATCACCTGGGAGCTTCAGCTCCTGAGAACCCAGAAATAGAGGCACTTCGCTTGGAAGTGGCAGAGATGAAAGAAAAATACGAAGCTGTGTTGGAAGAAAATAAAAACCTGAAAATCAAGGTAAAAGTCTTGTTTAGTATTTCTCAGTGGTTCCGTATTATGCAACAAGAATACTTGAATAGTTGGAATACAGCTAACTTTCTTCCATTAGAATAATTGATAATGTTGCATTGTTTAGCCTCATGGCTGAGGAATACTTATAGAATTCATCATGGTAAAGATTCTTCTTTTTTTTTTTTTATGGGACTCTTCTTGTCTTCTGTAACATAGAACAGTATTGCTAAACTAGGGTTTTCATTTATGTATTTAGTGAAAGTATATGTTATCAAGGCTAATCCTATGTCTTCATTCAGTCCTCTCTGGATGTGTTGAAGTTGCTGATATTATGTAGCTCATGCTTCCACAAGAGTTTTGAAAAAGAAAAAAGCTAATGTATCTATTATATAAAGGCTTTCAAAAGGCAAAGTGAAGGAGGAATATTATATATTAGTTTGTGTGACCTGGCACAGACTTGCATGCGGCAGGATGTTACCAGTGGAAGCACTTGTATACATGTGGAACAGTAATTTGTGCTTTTCAGCTGAAACAATCCTGGTATTCCTCTACGTGCAGAAACAGTGGAACTGACATACTAGCTAAGGCATTCTTTAGTGGGTTTACAGGCTGTCTGAAATGGCTTTGGGATGTGAACAACTTCCCCCTACAAGAGGGTAGTGACTGTAAACCTAACAACACTGAAAAAGGAAACCTTCGAGAACCTTGATAAGCTAGTAGCTTATGTGCCGCAACAGGTTTCCATGCGTTTGTTGGAAGAGCATGGCTGTTATATGTGAACATCTCTATGGGTTTTTTACTGGGAGACAACCAATGCCACCTTAGTTCTGGGAGAAGGGATTCTTGGGCATTACCCCTTTGTAATTCTTGTCTGGAGTGCCCTCTTGCTATCCTAGTAACTCCTCCGTCTCTATTACCCACTCTGAGTCTTTACAGCTACATTTGTTATTTCTTACTAGGAAATATGGCAAAGAACAGAATTTTAGGGGGAGTAGCAATAGACCAGCAGTTCACTCGGCGTAGCCGACTTAAAAATGCAACCGATAGTAAGTAGACACATGAAAGCAGAGTAACCTGGGTCTTTTTTTTTTTAAAGAAATCTTTTCAAGAAGTCAAAACTTGTTGCAGAAAAGTAAGCCTTTCCATAATCATGGGTTTATTTGTGCCTTCAAATGATAATTCTTACTTTATGTGTTTTCCAGTATTAATGTTTTTGGTTTTTCCCTTTCTTTCCCCTACCATCTTCTGCCTGTCATTCTGACATACTGTAGAAGTTCACACAGACAGAATGCAGGGATAACACTACTGTTTAGCTTAGGGGTTTTTGGGTTTATTTTTTAGCAGTCCTCTAGTATTAAATACATGCCTTTAACTGTGCATTTGTTGGTAACTTGAATCATGTCCAAATAGGTGGCGTTCTTCTGTTGCATTCATCTGTGAAGATCTGTTCTTTTCCTTACATTTATTTGTCAGAATGTCAGGTATTTGGGTGGGGTGGGGGTCAGTAGTTAAGTCCTTTGTGGAAAACTGACTTTGGATTGTGTACTGGCTATCTTTTGTGATAAAATCTACAAGAATGACAAAATGCTCTTTTAGCAGTTCTTGTTAGTGGCATAGTGATTGCTGTAATCTAATGTTGCTATGAGAAACACATGGGTATTTTTCTTTTTTTTTATGAACTTTGTTTATTTTTAACCTACTCTGCAATTTGCAGGAGAGGGGAAACATCTTAATTGAGGAAACCGGACTGGCATATTTCAGAGACTCTGTCCTAATGCTTGACCTGTTTTCGAAGCTTGAGCTTATCTTTAATGTAACGGAGGTCAAGTAAACACCTTCATAGGTTTCTTTGGAAATAACTTTACAAGTGAAGGTCGTACTTTAGTGCTTAGTGGCCTAGGCCATACTCTCCAGAAGGCATAATGAAAGCTAGAGTGATTACAGGAAATGCTAGTTTGGGTACTGTTGCTATGAGAGTGACTGTTTCATTTAATCATATCTTGGTGAAATCAAAGTTTATAAGGCACTGATCATTATCAGCTGCTATTTGAGATGAAAAGTACTTAATGAGACCTAGAACAAGAAACAGGGAAAAATGAAGGGCAAGACCTATATGCTTGAAAGTGCATTTAAAAAAACCCTGGTTATAGCTGTGTGATTATACAACATGACCGACTGATGTTTTGAGGGAAGGGTTACTTTGTTGCGTGATTTGAAAATGGACTTGCATAAATATCAGTGATGGATTAAAATGTACAAAGTAAATGGAGCACTTCCAGACCAAACACTTTTCTACTTTTCTTAATGTAGAAAGTATCTCTGAAATGTTGCAGCTAACTAAATTCCTCTCTTTAAATCCACAGCTGGCTCAGTATGAACCACCTCAAGATGAGAAGCACGGTGAATAACAGCAGTTTCTCCTTTAATGCCTTGATTTAATAAAGGGCTTCCTGAGAACTGCAGTCTTTTTTTTTTATTGTGTGTGTGTGAACTCTGCTTGTCTACTTTGTTACCTCGTCTTAAAGAAAAGAAAAATGCAATATCATGAGTGTACAGTTATTTTTGAGCAGCTGCAGCAGCAAATGATGTGTTGGAGCATACTGGCCAGCTTTCTTGTTTCTGTGTTTGAGAAAAGGTGATAGTTACGATTAACTTGGAGATAACCCTGCCTGCCAACTTTGTGTAAATTTTGCATCATGGTCAATGGTCCTGTTAAGCTGATGATCTCTTTCTTGGGTTTTCTTTTAACTGGAGGGGGTGACATGATGCAGATGGACCAACTGTGAACTAAAGCAGGACTTCCAAAGTATGTACTAAGTTGGTGCTCAGCACTGAGATTAGGCTTCTATTGAAGTTGATCGGGTAACTGTCTACTCAGAGGGTTGCAAAAGGAGTAGGTATAGTCATGTTAAGCAATAGACATAGCACAATGTTGGAGATGCAGTACCTACTGAACTTACACTTTTTAATTTGCATGAGGTGTACCTATTTCCTTGCAGTTCATGTCTCAAATTCTGTTTCAGAAACTGGGCCTTGGAGAATTGATCCAGATACCTTCTGCACAGAATACAAAATTCTTACTTGTAATGGATATCCTGTGTGATTAGTGACACATATGACTATAGTGTGGAGAGTTCTGTTTTCTGATTCATCTAATGCAGAAAAGAAAATCTAGGCAGGGCAGAAAATCCAAGAGGGTGTGTGTGTGACTTGTGATTTCTAATTTTGCCTCTATGTTCTATGGCCCCCGTTTCCCCAAATCTGCTTCACAATTCTTCTGAATATCAAAGTTTTCCTTTACAACAACAAACACACACCCCCCCCCCCCAAAAAAAAAAAAAACCAAAAAAAACAACCCACAACATTTTTTAAAGCTGCATTTGTCTCCTATCCTAAAACTAGGTACTTTAAAGGCAACTGAGGACAGGAAAAATAAAGGCGGGGGGAAGTGCAGTAGCTGTCTCGTGTATTAGATCTAATGGCTGTTTGTTTAACTTTGTTCCTAGGATTGGTTTTGCAGCTTGTCTTACAGGCGTGGTAGGGTGCATCAGAACTTTTGCTAAAGGCCGTGTACCAACTGCAGTCAAGGGCTAATGAATGTAGCGGTTGCTTTCCTTACTACTGTACCTATTATTGATCTAAAGAGATGAGAGGTAAAGGAGGGGAAAATAGTGTGTTAAATCTTTAAAACAACAACGACACACCCTACCCTGAACAAACAAAAAATGCCTCGCCCTCTGCAATGAAGGAGGGAAGGCGGCTCGCTTGTAAGTCGGAATGCATACCTGGCATTAGGTTGGAGCATGTGGAAATAGGGAGAGGATAGTGCTGCAGAAAACACATGGTACGCCTGTATGTGTGCTGTGGGTAACGTGGCCGGGGGAAGACAGAAATAAACGCTGTTCGGGGTGCGTCTTGCCGAGGAAGGAGCAGACAGGTAAGGTGCTCGGTGGAGGTCATCAGAGGGTGTGAGGGACTCCTTCCTCGCTGTCAGGCCTGAGGGCAGTAACACGCGCTTACGCTTTTCCTAACTGGATTTGCTTCCCTCTGAAAACAGTTGGGTCTCGCGAGCCGTACAGGAGGGTGGTAGTGAAATAACTGTTTGTTAAAGCTTTGCTGCAGCCGCCTGCCTGTGCGAAGGAGGCCAGCAGAAGGCTCA